GTGATTGGCCCAAAGTCACCCAGTTGGCTTTGTGCCTAAGGTGGAAATAGAATTCAGTCTCCTGGTTTCTAGCCTGATACCTTAATCACTACACCAAACTGGTTCTCATGATATGATATGATACGATATATGATGTGATATACGATATGATATATTGTGGCAGCAGCTGGCTGAGTGACATTATGGGCCTATTTCCCCTTGCATCTAACCATGGCACAAACATTTTCTGCATTGTATCTTTTCTGCCATATTCCTATGACATTGCTCTCCTCTCATCTCAGCCCCTAAGTGAGATAGGTTAAGTTGTCCTTAGATGCGTCAGTGTTAAAAGAGTATTTTTCCTTTTCATTCCAGGATCATCCAAGGGCAGCCTTGGATTAAAAAAAAAAAAAATCTGCTAGGCTTCATCAACCATTATTTCAGAGTGAAATTAGGTGACTGCAGCGACTTGAAACAGAGGCAAAGAGAAAGAAAAAAATAAAGTTGTTGTTACCCCATTGTTAGCAAATCAGAGAAGAAATATATATATATATATCCCAATTAACACTAAAAGAGGGAATGGTGTCCCATTTAAAAGCAGGGCTAGGACAGACATCTAGCTCTCAGAGTAGACAATGTTAAACTGTAAGCGATCATTGTCTGGCTTGCTGTAAGGATCCTTCATAAATGTAGACTTTTATTACCTACAGTTTGTGATCACTGGATTAATGAACATATTGCAGCCACTGAAAACAGTTGTGCTCATTCATCTTCTATAACTGTATAGGAAGAATAATTCTCAAATCTGGAATTTTCTGGTATTCTCTGTATTTCTGAAACTACTTGAATGCCTGTCTACATAACGGATGCTTCATTTGTCCCTCTCTTGCAAGCATTGCCCTTGTTGCCTTGAAACATACTTTTGAAGGACAAACACTGTCCAAACCAAAGCTCCTAGCCTATAATTGGATTTAGCTTTTCTTCCTGTTCCACACCGCCTTTGAGAGGAAAAAACCCAAGCCTTTCCATTGCAGCAGTGCATTTCAGCTGCTAAAGGTTATGAAAGATAATGGAAGAAATTACTGTCTCATTTGACCAGTGCAGGAAGTTTGCTGAGGAGAAGGCCCTCTAAATTTCCATTTGCTGAGGAGAAGGCCCTCTGCATTTCAGACAGAGAATAAAATCTCATCACCCTACAATTCTTTAATGAACTGGTGAAGCTCAGTTGGTGGTGAGAATGGTGGCAGCTGGGAGTATTCTTCACCAGTTTAGGCTAACATAGCATTAACAGCCTCACCTAGAGAAGATGGGCCTTGATTCAAGTATCTTCTATGCTGTGGTGGTGGGGTCCACATTGCAGTGTTCTTTCTTGGCATGTGGCAAACTCCTTCCCTTTTGGACCTGACTTATTTATTTTCCTATCAGGAGCAGTAAGAGGGAGACAGGCATGCTGTAAAGGAAATTGCCAATCTGTGGCATCATTTTCTTATTTCCAAGTATAGCTCTGGCTTCAGTGGCATTCTTAGAAGATAAAAATGGTGGATGACTTCTGCTAGTGCTTTATTTGAACATGTACTCCTAAGTAAACAAAATAGAAGGATGTGGGAGGTGGCAGCTGGTTGGAGAAGGGAGGAGGAGGAGGAGGAGGTGAAACCTCACTAATGTGTCTTTCAGTAAATTGGTATCTTGTGACTGGTTAAATGTTTCATGGCAACTATTTTGTGTGCATGTTCACAACATTACCCTAGAATGCCAAAAAAGACCACCAATCCCCAAAGGTTGGGACCTCTGCTCCAATGACATTCAGGCTGGATGGCACTAAGGTACTGCCTTTAAAGGCTTCAGTTGAACAAGTCAGGGCCACATAAAGACTATGCCAGTGGCTGGGCCCATCCTATAGTGTGGGTACTGTCATTTAAAGCCATAAACATGGTGGACTGAAGTAATTTAAAGATGATCTTCAGCTGTACCAGCTGGACTGCATTTTGCAACAAGCCCAGCAGTCTTCTTCTTGGTGTACTTTTCTGGAAGAATAATATAGCTGGTGGGCACAAGGAATCCCCCCCCCCTTAGAGCACCTTCCATCTGCTGTTCTCTACTGGACCATTTCATTCCAGACTTTCACATAAGCCTATTGAGATTCACCTCTTTACTACAGCCTGAAACTGAAGTAGTATTTTATTATTGTGGGTAGACACTGTTAAACTTTACATCATTTTTCCCTGTGGTTCTGTTTTGTTTTATGTCTTCCAGGAAGGGTTCAGTCCAAAAGAAGGGTGGGGAATCTAGTTTAGCCTAATGGTCAAAAGTGGCTTTTATCAAAATTAGTGAGGCTACTAGATCATACGCTCCATTCTCTGTCTCAGATGTTTCTCAATCTCATCAACTTTAAGATGCGTGGACTTTAACTGGAGGTGAAGTCCATGCATCTTAAAGTTGATGAGATTGAGAAACACTGCTCTATCTAATCCTGCAATATGACTCCATAAACATTAGGCAGGACCATGTGATGGTAAACAGTCTTGAGTATCATAGTGCAAAAAGGCAATGACAAATGGGAGTGAGTTCAGAAGAAGGCTGCCCAGATGGTGAGAGATCTGGAAACAAGTCATATGAAAGGATCTGGGTATTTAGAGACAACCAAGGGGAGACACAATAGTAGTCTTCCAATATCTGAAGAAGGAGTATACATATTCTCTATTGCTCCAAGGGCAGGACCAAAAAACAATGGGTTAAAGCCACAAGGAAGTAGGTTCAGGAGAAACTTTTGCTTGGGCTGTCAGACGGTAGAACAGGCTGCTGCATGAAGTAGCAAAATCTCATTTGTTGGAGATATTCATAAAGAGGCTGGATGTTTATCTGTCAGAGATGATGTAGCAGATCCTGCAGTGAACAGAGAGTGGACTAGCTGACTTCTATGGTCTTTCCAAACCTATGAGTATAATAATACTTTAGGAGATATGCAAGTGTTACAGTATGAAAGGCTTCTATTATTATTCAGAAGTTAGAATTATTTATTTCCAATGGGGCTATTGCTCAACTTTTTTACCTCTTTCTTTGAAGGAACAGTATTAGTTGACTCCCCACCCTGGGTTTTGAGTAACCAGAAAGCTATATTTAGGAGAAATGTAGAAAGGCAAGCATGCATATAGTTCAGTACACGGCAACTGTGGAGACTGCAGTCCTGAAAGAGGAATTTTCAACAGCCTTTCCACTTCCATGGGAAGATGATTCATCCATTTTAATAATCTGGAATGGAGATGACTCACTCAATACAGCAGACCAGTAGTATCATCCTCTTGCACTCGAAGATAAATGCCATTTTTGGGAGTAGTTGTACAAGTGTCCAAAATGGACAATGACTCCACTTAGTACAGGTCAAGCAGGCTAAAGCAGCCCTGCTAAATTTGGAGTTCCTGCCTTGGTCAATGTTCTCAGTCATGGAAAGACTCAGAAATGTCAACCAGTTTGAGAAGGCACCTTCTCAAACTGTATGCGTACGTACATACATGCATGTCAGGTTCAGCCCAAAGAACTCCACGAGACAGTGCAGATACAGTTCTGTTGTGTTTATTAGCTTCCCCCTCAAAAAAAAAACCTCCCCAGCCTGAACCAAAGTCCCCAAGCCAGCCAGCCACAACACTGTGCATTCCTTAGGGTGGTGCCAGTCTCATCTTCTTAAACTTCCCATGCTCCTGCTGGAGGCTAAGGACACACTTATCTCCCTGAGCATGGCCTTCATAACACCATTCCATCACAATGCAGCACAATAAAGCACTACTAGTTCTGTCCTCTAAAAAGGTTGATCTGACAGCCCCATATGTATCAATCACTTATTAATTGATTGACATGGACTAACTTGTTAGAGATACTGGCTATGAGGATCCTGCCTCCTTCATGGACTAGCTAAGCAGAAGTAGATTTCTAAGCCATTGTTCTGCAAGTCTGAGAATATTTTATTTCTCCCAGAACTCTCTGGAGAGTTTCCAGTAGAGGCCTACTTATTAGCACTGGCTATTCATGTCGATTTTTTCTAGGGCAATCTTATAAGTAGCAGCTGGCAGAAATTTCTGTGTTTACTCCATAAGACCTTCCTGAAAAAAGACAGCATGCATAACCATTACAGGGATGTTGTTGATTGCCTGTGATAGAGGATCTTTAAAACTAACTGAAGGGAAGTTTGTTGACAGAACTGTAGCACTGAAAAGGGATAAAGTACTAAGAACTCCTGGCCTGACTTACCAGGCCAAACACAGCTACCCATTGCATGTGGTGGTTTGCTAGGTGTAACCTCCAACCAAGGCAGCTGAACCAGACATTTCATCAAGCCCCACATTTTGCTTAGTGAGTCCAAAGTTGCTCATGTGCCTTTAAAGACTTTTTTTTTCCCTCTAGCAACCCACCATTCTCTATAGATCTGCCTACATGATCCATACTGGGCCAGTGTAATTCACGTAGGGTGTGCTCTGGTCCCTTCCTGTTGGATAGATCTGGGGTTTGTGTTGGCCTAGCTGAGGCAGGGGTAGGCTGACTTGACAGAGCTGGATGTGCTGACTGAGGTCATCCAGTTGCTGAAAACAATTTTTTATAGACCTGCCCTCACAAATGCAAAAATGCCCAAAGTCCCTTCTCTGAACCTCGCAAGGGAAGATAATCCCCCCTAGTGCATCTTGCTTTGCCAGCAGCCTCCCCAACTCCCAGCGACCTCCTTCTGAAATGGGCCATAATACGCAGTCTTGTTGGCGAGGTCACAGTGACCGCATCATTGCATTTCACGTTGCCAGCACACACCTGGAGCCTTTGGACAGGCGGTCTCAGCAGAAGGCCAGGCTGCCCGAGGGGGGATATCTGCACTGGCAGTCCGGGGCAAGGCAGCTTGTATTGCCTGCCTGTCACGTCTAGGCCAGCTGCACAGCCCAGCCTTATTGGCCCGAGGGACAAGGGAAAGTCCAACAGGCAGTTCCTTGTGCCAAGGCAACCCTGTGGCTTCTGGCCAAGACTGGGGAGGAAGAAAGCCTCTCCAGCAGGGAGCAACGAAGTGCTGTAATCCTCCCTGGTAGCAAGCAGACAGACGTTATTTTCTCTTTCATTCTGCCGAAGACTGAAGTCAGCAGAACGGAGCACATCCAAATTGACTTTTTTTTAAAAAAAAAGCAAGTTTGAAAGCCAGACTGGCTGGAAGAATAAGTCCGATTGGAGGGCTATAAAATGCTCTAGCCAAAAGAAAGAAAGAAAAGGCAGAGAGAAGGAGAAACGGCAGCAGCGAGTTAAGCGTGGAGAAATCCGAGGACACCGTTTACTCAATGGATTAGCTGCTCGTTTTGTTTCAAGGAGCCGAGTTTGCTGAGTGCCTTCCGGCTGATATTAAATGACAAGTCGAGCGAGCGGCGTTGTCCTGGAGGAAGTGCTGGTGCTGTGCCTTTAAGAGAGTCTTGCGGGGGAATTGGGTTTCTCAGTAGTCCTGCACGTGGCGGAATATATTTTGGGGGGGTGGGGTGGGGGGGAAGAGAAATCGCGTTCCGATTTTTTTTTTTTTTCCCTGGGTCATGACTTTGGCATCTCTCGTTTTCGCTCGCTTTATTTCAATGATACGAAGCCGCTTCGATTGGGAGCAGAAACGTACGATCCACACACGGAAATGTGGTAATCTGGAGGCACTCGTGATTGCAGCCCATTGAAGAAATTCGGCTGGAAGCGCTTGTTTAGCTTTGTTTTGACGAAGAGGCAAATCCAGAGAAAGGCACCCACAGGGAAAGTAGTTAAATACACTTTGGGACACGTGGATGCTAAATATATCTCCCAGTCATGGAGAGGGACCGGATTACAGGTGAGTGGCTGGAGTCCTTGGCTAGGGCTCTGTAGACGTGGTGCCCCCTGCCTTTCTCCCCATTCGCCCCTTGGGGCTTCGGCGGTATTGGAAGAGGCTCCGTGCAGCCCTTGTGGTGCTTCAGCATTCCCGGGATGGCCTTCCTTTGGCTCCACCATCCTTCCCCCTCCTGAATGGTCTCAAGGCAGATGGTACTGCAGGAGCCCCATCACAGGTCAAAGCGGTTTTCTGGCTCTGGACCCCACTTGTGCTTCCTTTAGTTTTCAGCTTTTGCAAGGAATGGGCCTGGAGCCTCTTTGCCCTGGACTTGGACAGTTTGGGGGGGGGGGAGTTGGAGGAATTTGGGAGGGGGAGGAGTGGGAAGGCCTATCCTAGCTCTTGGCTCAAGGATGCCTTTATGTTCTGGAAGTCGGCTGCTTGCTTTGTTTGTCTGTGTGTTGTGGTTTAGCACTGACTTTCATGCCAAAACTTGTGTGAAAGGCAGAAGCTCCCGCCTACCCCTTTGTCCTCTGGAGATGTTTATAGTGCTGCAGGGAGAATAGGCTGATAAACAAGAGGGGCATGGTTGCTAGGGGAGGGTGTCCTGGGTATATGCATATTCCCTGGGTCGGTAATATCACGCTAGAAAGTTGCTGCCTTCCTGCCCTGTATTTCATCATCAAGTATATTTGACATGGTGTTTTTCTGCTAATGGCGGTGTGTGCCTGAGAAACCATCATTTTCAACAGAGGTCCACTTGCTCAAGACAAGGTGTAAATTGATTGCTAAGTAGAAGAAGACACTCACAATGGACCCACAGTTTACCTGTCACAACTGTAGACGCAATAACCAGCTATTGACTCTCCCTGGGAGCCTGAAGCTGCTCTGTTCATTATTTTTCAGCCCTGGACTGGTGGCAGGTTTATGAGACATCTGTTTTTGCAATACTTTCAGCAGTTGGTATCTTTGAAAGAATCTCTAAGCTGTCTCTTGAGGTCTTAAAAATACCTTACCTGTAAACAAGGGAGTTAATAGGTGGAACTTATGTGACATAGCAGATAACAGCAGAGATGTTTGTAGCTCACATCTCATTATTGCCATGAATTCACCAAATAGCCTTAGGTGAGATCCCTCCTCCTCCTCCTCCTCCTTCTCCAGCTATAGACAGGGGATAATATGGACTAGCAAATAGAATTTGGGACTGTAATCAACATTCAGCATGCCTGAGCCCATATCAGGGTGCATGCCTCAAGAGAGAGTCTACTGCTGGTCCCTCAGTAATTAAATAAGCCAACTGTTTAGGGGGGAAAAAATCAACAACAGTGGCAGTAGGAGAGTTCTGCCTTAGCCTGGATTAGCAAGAAAACAGGTAAGCCAGAGATGGCTAGACAGCCTTGAATTCTGGAACTCAGTGCTGTTGAGGAATGCTGCTGCTCTGTTCTTCCAGATCAAGAAGCTACAATGATTTGTAGTTAGCCTACCTTTTAGATGTATTGGAAGGCAGGGTGGGGAATGCTCTGTCTCCCTCCAGCCTCCAAATCCTGTCTTTTTCCCTGGCATGGGTGAAACACTACTTGGGAAGCCATTCAGCTCTCCTGGGCGTTGCTGACTTTGCCTGTTGGGTATTCACACTGGAAGCAAAACCACATGTTCTAGAGGAAACCACCGAGCAAGGGTGGAGTGCAACAGTGGCAAAGGAAAACTGAACTCAGCTCTGGTCTAATCTGGGCTCTGTGGAAGAGTGACAGAGCTTGAGTTGCACATTTACATGGATCTAAAGCAGGGCTATTGCTTCAGGAAGCTTTATCTTTCTTTCTGATTTAGGCAGCACTAACATATTCAGTAAACCTTTTCCATTCTGCAATGCTCAATATGTGCTGGGACTGCAATTCCCAAAATTCCCAGCTAGCATAGCAGACTGAGGAAGGCTAAACTGATTAGACTGGATGGATGCTACCATCTTACTTTACCCTCTCTCCCTCTTTGAAACTGCTAGGGAGAATTAATAGTCCTATGTGGCAAATGGGTCTCCTACTAAATAAGTGTCCTTATTTGCATTTTTCCTGTATGCTTTTATCTCCAGGAGGGGATTATAGGTCCAGTTCAGCCAATTGGCAAAAATGCACAATTGTATAAAGTATAAATAAAGCTGTAACCCTGAATGTTTTATCATTATGAGCCAAAAGGAGCAGAAAAGAAACTTGATGAAGTCTGTATCAAGGGAAAACGGCACACACAGGATCAGATAATTACTGGTTTTCTGTTGAAATGCACTCCTCAAATGGAATTGAGTTTGATAAGATATGACAATCTGCTATAGATAGCATTTGGTTGCATAACCTCCATAAACTGGTTTGTGCTCTAATTTTTGCATTTGTGTTGATCAGGTTCCATTGATACAATGGTGCAAGTATTTATATATCTGACCATCCACTCCATGTTTGGAAAATATCTTGAAAAAAAGAAATGTGCATGTATACACACACACCACAGCAAGCAGTGCCAGTCATAACTGCCCTCAAAAGTCAAGGTCAATTCTGGGTACTGGGCCTGTTTGCCATCCCTTCATTATATGTTACTCTTCATGGTCATTTGTGAGTTTCTGGGCTGGAAGAACCTGTGCCTTGAGCTCTGGCTTCACCACTACAGTTAGTAAACAGAACACTCCTACCAGGAACCATATTAGCATTCTACTAAATGGTTGTGTGTCGCGACTAAATCATGAATGGGATAAACAAGGAATGAGGAGCTGTGGAACAAGTCAGTAATCAGGACTGAAGAGTAAATTAACAAGAGAAGGCAAGATAGGAAGTCTGAACCAGGACTGAATGACAAATCAGGAGGCCTGTGTAATGAGTCAGCTTCAGTTCCAAAAATGTGCCTCAGCGCACAAGAGGGCATGTACTACAGTATTTAAAGCAACCACCTCTTTTCTCAGGAACACATGACTGTTGCATTGGGTACCAAAGCAAATCTGGCTGCTTTAAAGAATTGCAGATAGTTGCCTCATTTGCATTAGGGCATGCTCCAAAGCACCTTTTTGGAATCATGTCTGAAGCCCTGTACAGTCCTACAAGTCAGTCATCCTGATGAAAGAGTAGTCAAGAGTAGGAATGTTTCAGAGTTTAGGATATCGCTTACATAAGCTCAAATGGAATAGGAAGTCTTTATACATTCTTTCTGTTCAATAGAATCTGATGGCTAGTCTAGACGGCCAGAATCAGTCGAGGTAGGGCCTGGCGGTATTTCACCAAAAAGTTACAGTTCAATGGTTCACCACACAAAGGAACTGTGGAAATGATGCACTACTTCATTATACTGTGACAGCAAAATCTAAGGTGTTGTGGAACATTTAATAAAGCCTTCACTCATTCTTTCTGCATAGGTGAACGCTCAAGGTGGCTAACCAAATTTAATGTAATACAAACAATTGAAAAATAAATGCTATTCATAGTGAAGTCAAATAACTGTTAAAATCCTGCTGAAAGGGAGATGTATTTACAGGTTTTTGAAATGCTTAGACAATTGGGCCCCTAATGCTTTTGCTAGCCAGACAGCCAGATAGAAGGCGACCTTATCCTAGTGCCAGATCAATGACCTCTGACAGCATAAGCATCTTCAAAAGGGGCTCTCCTTAATTATTGGGCAGGTCCATATCAAGAGAGGCAGTCGTTTAAACAGTCTGCTCAGTAAAGAACTAGGTATTTCAGTGACCCTTTTACTTTTCATTTGTTAGCAAGTTGAGGCTGTAGCAGGAGAGCCTTTACAATGGAATTACATCTCGTGTGCCAATTGTAGCCATATCTGGATTTTGAAACTTTGGGCATAGTAACTCATGCCCTTGTCAATATTTCAATTCACTCTACATGGGGCTGCCCTTGAAGACCATGAGACCATGCCAAACCTTCAGCTGGCACAAGTAGTTGCCCATGTGGTTATGGATAGATCAAAATTTGCTAGGGTAACACGCTCCTTTGGGAGTTACATTGGTTGCCAGTTAATTTCCAGGTGCAACTTAAGATGCTGGCTGTCACCAATAAAGCCCTTCATGACTCAGGACCTAGATATACATAAGACTACCTTCTCCAGATTGAAACTGCCCACCTAGGGAGATCAGGAAGAGAGGGCTTGCTGAGGATCCCTTTAAGAGAATATCATCTACAAGGATCTGGGGAGCAAGCCTTCTTGGTGGTGGCCTCCCTTTCATGGAACAGCTTACTTCTAGTTGTCCTCTTTACCTTATTAAGCTTTCAAAGGGCCATAAAGACTTGGCTCTTCAGAAACGCATTTGGGGATGTGGAGATTTACCTTAACCAGTGAGTGGCACTGTCATGGTGGGCTGCTTGGTGTTTTATGTGTTGAATGCTTGTAATGCTATATTTTGGTGTTTAGTAGTAGTAGTAGTAGCAGTGGTAATAAATAAACAAACAAATACATTTGTGCCAGTTTCACGTTTCAGATGTTTTTTACAAGTAACCCCATGTGGAGCATGTTGTAGTACAGAAGTCAGGATGTACCAAGGCATAGATCACTGTCACCAAATATCATTCATTTGAGAAGGGCCACAGCTGGCACACCAGCCTTAATTGTGTAAAGGACTACTCTTTCCACAGCTGCCACCTGAGGATCAAGGAACTTCCAGATTGTGAACCTGCTGTTTCATGGGAAGTGCAGTCCTGTGCAACTGGTACACAAACACAAGCATGTAAGAGAGAGATTCAATGTCTCCCTGTTTCATTTAGTATGGTTATTTGAGGCTAAGATGTAGTTTGGGAGGTTGACATAATGAAAATAGCATCTACTACATGACAGCTTTATTTATTGCCTCAGCCTGGCTTTTTTGCTCTAAATGAGAGAAATAGGAAGTGACCAAAACAGATGTTTTCTACAGCAAATGAAGTGTGACCTTACTGACCAGTTATATTGTCCAGGTGTGGGCGATTTGGTGCCATCCAGAGATTAATCTTGTATTGCAACACCTTTACCATAAGTGTGCTCTGATGGTTAAAGAGCAGACCAGT